GGTACCCATCCCTAATAATAAGTGTCAACAGTAACATGCGAGAGTCACTCAGCTTTGATGAAAACATTTTATTTGAAGGTATAAAAAAAAAGCTTCATCACAGGTAGATCTTCACAGGAGATGATAGACCCTCTGAGCTCCCCTGACGTAAGAATCACTTCAGTGCAGATGTATTTCCATTTTTTCAATTGCTTTGACATGTCAGACAATTTTTCATTAGGATGCCTTTATTTTATTTTATTAATTTAAAATAAACTGTACAGAGTCACAAACAGATATTACTATGGAAACGTTCTTAGTTAAATATCCTCTCGCAGTCATTTCAGTGCATGTGTGTGTGCGCATGTGTTTGTGTGTGTGTATATATCTTCATTCAAAGAGCTTGTTGACTTGATGCCAGCCAGGAGACAAGAGGACCCTGGGTAATTGGACTCCAGTGAAGCCCTGTATGGCACTGGAATAGTGTCTGGGATCGCTGCCATCCTCTCTGTGTGTCCGTGTGTGGAGGCTCCCATGTGTGTGCATGCAGTTTTACAGCTTTAACACTATAGTCCAGTGTAAGAGAGAAGTTAAGTACGAATAGTTGGACTAGTTGTTTAATTACATTTGCAGTAACTTGCTGGTCTTTCTTTTAAAAAAAATGTGTCTTTAATAACTGAATTCCCTTTGGGCATCCTGATGTGTGTGAAGGTCCGGACAATGCATATGCTTGACCTTTGAGTAGTGTACATGTAAAAGAGCAGGAGTTGTCATCCCTGTGTGAGCACTTTACATCATGAATACATCTCCTCAATCTCAGCCTGAGGAAGAATCACCACAGTTATAAGAATCTGAATGATGCATTGTAGTTTAGTATTAAATTTGAAAAAATTCAATACTAAACTACAATGCACAGCATTTAGTTTAACACAACTACACATACAACAACGCGCTGTGGTATTTTAGTTTACTGAACTAATGGCCCAACGTGTATTGCTATTTCACCCCTGAATATTTTTGTCACAAGCCTCACATTCTCTGCATTAAACACTGTTGCTCCATAAAAAAGCAGTACATTCACATGTACTTGAGTGATATTGAGTTGCACCATACAGTTTATGGTGTTCATAGCGGTTCTGAAAGGGCAAATGTAACGGACATCTGATTCATCTGAGTTTCAGAAAAATATAGCAACCATTCAGTCAGGTATTCATTGTGGTATCACCAGTGGAAATGTCCTTCAGTGTTTCCTAACAAAAGATATATTTAAAAAATACCATTTCAAGAACAGCTAAATCATTTTCTCTCTTGGCCAATATGCTATGGTTGAACAGCTGCCAAAGGACAGGGATTAGAGGGAAAGAATAAAAGAAACAGGCTGCTGGGAAATGAGGAGCCAAGGAGCTGATTGTATTCTACCATACTGCTGTTTTCTCAGCTGGTGGATTACAATCCACCCCCCACTGCCCCACCCAACCCCACGTCACCTTATTTTCTGTCTCTTTCCTTTTGCTTGAATTTTATTCATATGAATTTCAGTTGTGTTACTACGGTAATGTACACCCTTTCTCTCCTCCCTCATT